CGTGACAAGTCCTCCTCGTGAAGGAGGAGTGGCAGAGACAACGTGTGATGAACTGATCACAACCCCCATTCCCCGTCACTCTGTGCCATTCAGAGTGCCACTCTACACAGATACTGAACTTAATCTCCAATTCCCTGAAAGTGCTTCATTCATGAATGAAGCCATTCTCATTCTTTCTGTTAAAAAGTAGATATGCGAGCATATCTAAGAGCAGGTGGTCTTTAAATATGTAGTTCTATAAATAAACTATTAAATTAACTACACATTTTCCAGGTCGACTTCTTTCAGTGGTAGCCAACTCAAGTAGGTAAAAACCACAAAGGTTAAAAAGGATATGTGCGCGGGACATAATTCACATATATATAGTTCTTTCATGACTTTTAGCACTTCCTACATAACTTGAATGAATTATCTTTGCAGTATTTAACCTAAGTGTTATTTCTGTTCTTAAAGGCACTTGAACATTACGAAATAAATTTTGGGTTAGTTTAGTTTAAAAACAAAATAAAAACAATTATAATGAAAGGCCAATGCAACATGTTAACATTTAGAAGGATTAGATTTAGTTCCTAGGTTCCACAAACTTGATTTTTTCAGATCGTATTTCAGAAATTATATAAATATTAACTACAAGTAAATGCAATGACTGCTGCTTAACAGTCAGAAGCAGCAGCCACTCACAGCAACTGTCAATACGAAATAATAAACTTACTTTCATGCACATCAAATGCATCCAGTTAGGGTTTTTTCTGAATTAAATCAGATGAGGATTTTCTCAGACATTTACCATCCTCATTCTGTAGCGTGTATGTTAACAGAATTTTCAGTTTCAAAGGAACAGATGTGCACACCTTCCTTCAGTGAAATCTAAAGGACTGGCAAGAGGCTCGCAGCATCTTCTTAAGTGAGCTTTGTGTATGACCTGGTTTTGGCCTCCAGCAAAACACAAATACTTTTCAAGGGTTGTGCTGGCCAACTCTTTTTCTTCCTTTTATACATTTATACATATGTATGCATATACATGTATATAAAAAAGGTATTGAAAAATATACTGTTAGGTCTATTAAAGCTGAACACTTAGAACAAACACAGTAGATATACAAATTTGGATTCCATGGAACTCTGGCATTTCCTGTAGCTGATGAGGGCTTGAATCTGTGGCCAAATTGTTTATTTGTATTTATAGAAAAGGATACAGTAGCTGACAACTATATGGTTCACTTAAATAAGCCTTCAGACTACTAAAGAATACTTTAACAATTATTACCTTGACTTTGTTATTAAGTTTTGACACTGATACAGTGTCATAACTCAGCTAAACTAGTAAGTGGTCAAGTAACCTACTCGAAAGAATATTAAGTGTCAGACAGGCGAGACCAGTAACATTTCTGTGGAAATACTGTAAAAACCTGAAACTGTCTCCCCACTCCCAGATAAAATCCATAAAATACTGGGTAGTGTAAGAGTTGATTTATTGCTTTATAAGACTTCAAACAGATAATCACCTTTCTATTGTAGGTATGAGGGAAGGTGGAGGACCGCCAGGTGGTGGTGGAAAACCTGTAATAAGAAATTAGATGAGGGAGAAAAAAAGAAAAAAAAACAACAAACCACACCAACCTACACATAAACACATTAAAAGAACTAGACTAAGCATACAATGGCAAACAAATTCCTGAGAGTACAACGCAAAAATTGTTTCTCACAGTGTAAAGAGGTTTTATTTTGTAAGAATGAGAACTACTTTCCAACTTAACAGAGTATTAAACATATATTATCAGTGCTTCAAATCAAATACCTTAACATTCTTAAAAAACCAGTAATTTAGAAGTATAGGAAACTTCTTGAGTATCTAAAAATATTTAATAAACAACAATCACAACTATTTTCTGCATAGCTGAGAAAAAAAGAATGTAAAGAAAAGAAGGAAGCACATATCTAAGAAACTGGCTGATTAGGTGCACTACTCAACAGCATTTTTATACATTTTCTTTTCTGCCTGGCACCAAAATAACTGAGCCTACATTTATACATATAGTTTTGTATTTATGAACTTTTATCTATATAACTGAAAGGAAGTTGGTAAGTTGCACATCAGTTAAGTTTTCCTTTCTTAATCAAATGTGGAAAAAAAAAATCTAAGCAAATTTACCTGGTGGTGGCACAGTTATTGGTATACCTAAAAAGACAACAAATAATGTATCAGTTACTATAGTTTGTATTTATTATCTGTAGACCTAAAATCAGACTGAGCTATCACCACATACATGATCAAGAATCATAACTTATTTTCTGTGTACTCAGATCAAGATCTCACATTAATACCAATTGTTAAGATTTTATAAAAGCCTTGTGAAATCTGGCTTTTTATTTAAACTCCTATTATTCAGGATCTTATTTAATTAGAGACGAAAATAATGAAGAATGACTCTAGGTCTCAAGATTAGAATTAAATTCATAACCGTAAAATATTTACTATCCAGAAGGAAAGTAACATCCCATAGAACATATTTGCTTTATGTTATATTCCATGACTGGATGAAAGGAAATGCAATTGGCCTCTGACCTTTAATAGCTTAGTATAGGAAACAGTAGGTCCACATGGACAAAATACTCTAGGAACAGTAAGTTGCTTTTTGGTCAATGCTATGCCACACTGCAATTGATCATTCAGTTGCTACTTGGAGGGAAAAAAAAATGTTCAGTACTCTATTTTCTTGTAAATATCTGAGAAAGGAACAGCCTTTAATATAAACACATTCAAAAACTGTTCTAATTTTTCTGGTTTTCATACTTAGCCTGTTACGAATCTAACTAAAAGCTGAGAAATTGCTCCCAATTACATTAGCTGACCTAACAAAATATATTGCCTCAACATATAAACCTAGTTATTTGATCATGAAAGGAATGATTACAAGGTAAAAATCATTTATACACTTTAAAGGACATTACCTTCTCAGACTTGCAAAGAACTAGCTTTACCTTAATTGAACACACAAAACACTGTCACGTGAAAATAATAAACTGCGCTAAAATGCTATCATCAGAAAATAAGACCAGGCATAAAGCTCTTTCAGTTATGAGCAATTCTGCTTCCATTAAAAAAATAAGTACTTTCAATCTGACAACTCACTGCAAGACTTTGGTGGGGGGAGAGAACAGAAAACTTTGCCAAGTGCTTTCATCAGTTCTGCCATAACTACATAAACATCCAGACAGAACAGCAGCCAGACCCACTTAAATTAAAACCCATCTCATTCAAGTTCCAGCCTTCATCATTCAGAGAATATCCTAGATGTACTGGCCCCTGTGTGATTAATTTTATGTATGTATCATCAGTTCAACATTAGAACTAAAAGACTATTGTATGGCAGCAGCATTTAACTACATCTACATATTATAATGTCTAGAAATGCCAACTGCTCCCAAATTGCCTTGGCAGAAGGACAGAATGAAGGAATACGCAAAGTGAGGAGGAGTAACCATTATCAGTGTTCACTAATTTCTGGTGATTTCACTGACGTGAATTCTTACCAGCATTAATCCTACAGGATTAAACAAACTGTGAGACAAAACTGAGGTTGCTGTCCAATCCTGAAGATTTAAAATCTCATCTCTCAGCCAAAATGCTCAGTGAACCCCAAAAGCCAAATCTCTAAACTGCATGAGCCATTTTCTCATCACCCGCACAGAAACTTTCCAATGTCCACTATCATTGTTCAGAAAACTAGAAATCGCACCGTAAAAAGTTTGACAGCGTAACATTTAAAAGACCAAATACTCCTAATGAAAATTTCTGAAAGAAAAGGAAGACTGGGAACTCAAAATGTTGCATAGCTGAAGTATTTTCTCTTCATCTTTTTTGGTTATAAAAATCTCATCACATGATTACAAGCCAAATGAAAAATTTCACTTGAGACCCATTCAAACCAAATTAAGACAGACTGAATACAACTAATATCCAGAGATTGCAGGGTCAAATAATGAATTAATTAATGTAGGGTATTATACAAAAAAACCCACATAATCATTTTTTTCTCAAAAACCTTTAAGAACATTTAAAAACTCGTGATTAATGACTATGTCATTTTAAGACAGAAGCTAATTTACTTGATGGCATCATGATGAAAGAAACATTCTTCTACATTCCAAGTTAGCAAGTATCACTAAAATATCTAAACAAATTTTTTCCTCACCTTTTTCCACTAACGCATGAATGTGACACAAAACATGAAATAAAACCCCCATAAACTTCAGTTAATGGGAAATCAAGAATCTCTCAACTCCTTTGTCTTCTACTAACGTGGTGCATGAAAATATACTTGAAGCATCATCAGCCAATTCATTCTTCCGAGAAAGAAAAAAAGACTCTGAAATATTGAGTCATTTCTTGCAATGCAGGGACTAAACTTGAGTACCAGTGCAAGAAGGTGACTTAGCATAGATCACTTCACATCCCTACAACACATTGTACTGCCACAAAGATACACCTGGCTTAAACCTAAATATTCAGACTTGTGTATCAAAAGCAATCCAAATGGCATTAGCGCGGCATTTTACTTAATGTGCTGAAAATTGCTCTCAGGACATTATACACCATCCTACTAACTCAAGGCTGGTAAATATTTACAGAAAACCAAGTAGCTTTTACTAAAGAAAAGCAATGCCACATGTGCTCTCCTTGCAGAGTAAGGAATCAAACATGAACGCTGCTACAGCTTAACAACATACTGCAAATTAGCTGAACTGTATAATAGCCCACAGCAATGTAGTATAACTCAACTTGGTGTAAAAACTTCTTTTGCCACAGACTAAACTAAATCAAATTCTCTCTCCTTTATCACAAGATAGAAAGTACACACTTAGATTGGTGGGGCTGAGCAGATGTACAGTTACTTGCTAAATCCTGCTCTAAGTGTAGGCAAACTCCCCGAAGTTATGCAACAGAAGTTCAATACTTCAGAGTAATTAATTTTTTTCTTAATATCACACATACATGTCATATTTTAACTACACTCTTAAACCAAAACACATAAAACAACTTTTAAAGCCTGTTAAACAGAAGCATCTGCATTCTTCTTTAGATTTAAAATTACTCCAACGCAGCAATAAACCAAGCAAACAAAAAAGAACACATTTTTTGCCACAGCCAGTGATCTCCTAGGAGTACTTGAGAATATTCTGCATTTGGCCCTTTGAATCATTCCAGGACTCATTCCTCAAAAAAAGATTTGAATCACAAGAGTGAATGAATTCAGAACAAGAGATCTAACTTCAAAGCAAGATCCTTTTTCAAAGGGGCTTTTGGAGGATGTTTTATATTTGGAATACTTAAATTTTCTGGCAAGTAGTCCTGGTTTAATATTGGGTAAGAGTAGTTTTTTTCTTCCCCCTCCACTGAACCTAGGAGGGATGGCAGATACTATTTTAGGAACAGCTTTGAAGATAAAGAGCTGGCAACAGCACAATTAAAACACAGGCCTGAAGAAACCAAATCCACAGCTCTTAATCTGAATCTACTCGAAGCACGGAAGGATGTTGAAGGAGACCTTCTGAACAAGTGTATGTCATAAACCTGTCTGTAAACCACAAGACTAAAGCCAAACCTGCTTGCTAGATCTGTAACATATGTGGATTTCTTTCACCTTTAAAAGCTCAACAGGTGAGGGGTTTCCTAAGAACAGTCCAGTACACCTAGATGACATCCCTGCACCAAGTGCATTTGGGGTGTGGGGGGGTTCCTCTCATGCTTTTAATAATATACAACTTAGATCACTTCTTCTGTGCCACAATTACAATTAAAACAATAACTTTATAAAAACTTGCAAGGCATTACCTGTATTATTTTAATCAGAAAGGTTTTAATGCATCTTAAAACTGCAGTTAGCATTACTGTCATGTTCCTTTCTGTGACCCCTGCAGTAGGGAAACATCACAAAACTGCCAGAGTAGTAGCATATTCTCTCTTCAGACACCCTATTTTTAATATTCATGCACAAAAACTTGGAAAAGGGAACAGAATTATTTCATCTTTAAATGTCTTCTGTTTTCTAGGTTGCACCATTTTGTGTATGACAATCACTGATGAAAGCCAGAGCTTGCCAGGCAGCAGGAGTTAATAGTTTTAAAATCAGCAGCAGCAACTGAAGAAAGCAACCTCTTCTGTGAGGATTTAAACCCTATAAAGCCCCACACAACGCTGTTGCACAGAAAGAATAATGTTACTTCCTTGCTTATACATAATGGTATTAACAGAGAAACTTTTAAAAGATTCCCTGTGCGAACAGAATAGCAAAGAAACTGCCTAGCATAATTTCAGAACAAGTCAAGCAAAAGAATGCAAAGAACAAAAGGAGAAAATAAGGGAAGGAGCTCTACCTTAAATCAGTCTCTTTCATAAACAAATCCTTCACTTTCCTACTCAAATACACCCCAAAGTTTCCCCATCTATTTTCATTTCTCACTGACCATTCTTAGTTCCTTGCTAAGTCCTTTAGAACTTAATTCCTTAAAATGACAACTCTCAGATAACTACACTATTTGTGCAAGTGCCCACGATACTCCACCCGGTAAATTTCCAGAAATATCAAGTTTCAGTAAATATTCAGTAAATTTCAAACCAGATTTAACAATAAGAAGAGTTCTCAAAGAGCTTTGTTTCCTCTACGATTCACAGACACAGGACACTGGATAAAAATAGCAGGTGCTAATAAGACCTCTGACTGAAAGAAAGGATACGGCACAAATGCAATTCTTATCAGACTTTTGGGTGAGGGGAAAGGGGAATTAAAGCTTCTGTTGCTGCTGTGACCTTAGACACCAAAGAATCCAACTTCTGACACAAATTTATGGCATGCCATACTTTTAGTTCAAAAGTTTGTAGAATGATTTGTTAACATGTATCTCTCAATAGCATTAACAGTAGTTGAATTACAGAAAACAGCTTCTCACTTCAACCACAAGATCCCACCTTTAGGTTTTAGGTAACTATTTACGAATTGGGATTACGCTTACTGAGAAAGTAAAGACAAAAGTTTCTGTTTCTGCCAGATATATTTAAGAAAAGAGTAGAACACAAAATTCTGAAATTCTGCACGTATAGGCAAATGTGCATGGAATGCACTGTCTTTAATTCATTATCATCAAGCATCTGATGATAATGCATCTCTCATTTTTCACATCCTATGTAGTGTAATATATTTACCTGGTGGGGGAATCAGAGGTGGAGCAGTACTGACAGTTGGAGGGGGTGGGAGGAAAGGAGGTGGTGGAAGGTGGGTAGGTGGAGCTCCTGGAGGGAAAAATGGAGGTGGCTTGGTAAAATTGTCTACTTCAGGATTAGATCGTTCTGAAAGAACCTGTAAAATATCAAACTATAGTTACAATTGCTATGTCAAAAGGGTAGAAAACAGGTTTCCTTTCTTTCCAGTTACTACAACGGGGAAGTATTATTTATGCACCTAAAGAGCCATACTCAGATGGTTTAACTTCTGTCTGCATCCCCTATATTCAGTGTCCCATACTTGCCAAGTACCTCTGAGAGAACAACAAATGTAAGATTTGAGAGGGAGTATAAACCATCTGAACATGGCCCAAAGCACAATCTTAAATTTATATATAAAGGAAAATATTTTTAAAATCAGTATGAAAAACATGAAAAAACCCAAGACTTTAAATTGCTTAAACACTGTGAGATCAGCTGAAAAACACACAGCAGTGTTTTCAATATAAGCACTACAATCCATTATTATTTTCGTTGCTTAACCTTAACCTAAGTTGGCATGAAAATGCAGCTAGGGCACCAAGCAACCTTGATTCTTCTCCACAGGTAAGTCAGGAGAGAAAAAGTGTATTCAATCTCAACACATTTAGTCGTTTTCTTAAGATAATCCAAGCCCATAAAGACTAATCTTACAATTTATGGCAAAATAATACAATATAATTTTAAAAAAAAGTAATATCAACTATTTATTCCTTCACAACTTATTTTTAGAAGATTGCATTTCTCAAACAGCATATGAAGAGGCTTTCACTTTCAGCATTAGTGTCTGGCAGGAATAGGGGAGAAACGGACAGTTTAAATATTTATCTTTGTCGCTTCGTAAACAACCACTATCCCATGCAAGTCTACCAGAGCCAATGCTGTCTCCTGGAGTGTAAGTCTGCAACATTGCTCGCTTCCTTTCAGTAAGGAGTACACCAAAACATTTATCTTTTGAAATATATCAAATATTTCATCTTAAGATATTACAATTAACTGCCACAACTTTCTTCCTGAACTTAAGGCTACTTCTGCATTACTCATTCATACACACTGAAATGTTTTAATCAGAAGCTATGGGGAAAGCAAAAATGTCTTTTAGCCAAAGATAGTGTGCAAATCTGCAGTATAAAACCTGTATATTGCTGTTTTCATTAGCACGTCGTCGTCCTTCCACCCTGCTGATAGTGATGGTCTGTCCAATCACATCTATTGTGCCAGATAATCGCCTGCAACATAGGACAAACCAGAATCAACAAGCAGAATTAGAAAAGGAAATTGAAAAAAAAAAAAAAAAAAGGAAAAAGAAAAGGAAGAGAAGAAGGTCTTATGGACATCTCTCATTCTAAATACCAAAACGTTCCTTCTCCTGTGTAAAACATTAAAGACCATTTCTGAAGAACATTAAATGCAATAAATTTGCTGAACTACGCAAATGTGTAGAACTAAACAATGCAGCAATAAAGACTCCTGTAGGACAAAGGTTGGCTCTCCACATTTTCCTTCCATCCCCTACAAGATAATAAATCTACACTTCTGTTACTGAAAAAAGAAAAAAAAAGGAACAATACAGTGAGATCACAAAAAAACTCAGTAAGAAAAAAATACATTAAACAGAACTTCAACAAAAATCTGAAGTAAAATAGTTATAAACTAATCATTAGAAATAATTTCTAAGCTGCAAGAAACCATACTGGATGATTCCATGGAAGATCAAACAAAGGTAAGTTAGGACACAGAAATAAGCATAAGCCAACCCTACCATGCATACTATGATATTGTAGCACATACTGAACAAAATCAGCTGCCATCTCTCTGATCCTGGAATACAGTCTTAATATCAAACAGAAACTACATGCAACTAGTAGACACTGACTCTTAAATTAAACCTTGCATGAAACTCTAAGGAATCTTGACACTCTGATACTTCTGTTCCTCAGTTTTCCAAATGCACAATGTCTCTCTCTCGAACACCCCTAAAACATTTGCACAGCTAAGCACTATGTCCACCTTCTTTAAAGAAACTAGCCACAGACCAGCACAAGACCCACCACAGTCTCCCTTACAACCCAATGAGGCAACAACAAAACATAATGTAAAATAAGAACAGCTACCTTAGAAGTAGGTAGTAATGGATTTTTAGAGAAAAGACAAGAAAAGCGACATGCATACACACATTCTTTCCCTCCCAGTTTCTGCCAATCAAAAATTTAAGGACTTCCATGCAACTGTGTTTAATAGCCGCTGATTAACTTGCATTTGCACAATCTCCTTTGAACACTGTTTTACTTTTGATCTTCAGTGATGAGATCCGTTTCAGCTATTTTTTCACCTGACAACTGTATTTGGTGCCCTATAGTCCTTGTGTTTAAAAAAAAAAAAAAAAAAAAAAAAAAGTATCCCTGTTCTCTGGCAGGGTAGTATTCGTGGTACCTCTGCTGTATCTCTGCTCAGCTGTCTCTTTCCCAAGCTGGACTAGTCCACATCTCTCCTCATACAGAAGTGACTCCATAACTTCCATTATTTATTTCACCTTTTTGTGGTCCCTTTCTACTTCTACTATTCCTTTTCTTGTCTGACATAAACAGAAGCACAGATAATATTCAGCTCTCAATGTATGACAGCTTTGTGCACTACCATAATGACTTTCCCCAGTTTGCTCTCCACTGCTAATGATGACTACCATTCCATTTTCTTATTTTGGCTAACAACGGAAATTGAACTAACATTTTGGGAAGCAGCAACAATAATTCCAAGATCTTGTTCTCAATGGGAATGATTATTAATGATTAATTTGAAGCATTGCATCTTATTTAGAAAAATTTTCAGTTCACTATGGACAAGTTATTCCAGTCCACGCTGGAGTCAATGTGTGACTTTTAAATGCAAATGTATCTCACTTCAGTTTCCAAATAAGTCAATCTATTAAGCTCATGCCTGTTAGATTTAAGTTGTTCCTACTATAAAATTTTAACTCCCATGTACATATTCACATAGTCTATTAAGAGAGGTATCTTTAAGCTGTCAAAACCATCTGATACTGTGGCCACGCAGCTGCCAACTGAAACTTTTTAACTTTTCAAAGCAGATTAAAAATGCTACATTGAGGGTAAAGACATGATGGGATTCCTTTGGATACAAACGCTAAAATTTAAAGCATAATCAATCTTTCAAAATCTTCAATAAATGAACCACATGGGAATATACGGACAGTAAAGGATTCCAGGTGCCAGACTAGAAAATAATATGACAAGGATCTGAATGTCATCTACTAAAATTAAAACCTGGTATCTGTGACAATGGGGAACCACTACTTTGAAGAGAGGAATAATCTAAAGTATAGTGAACTTTCCTGTTTGCAGCCCCAAAAGTAATAAACCCCAGAAACCTAGCTTTATAGAGAATTTATAACTATTATTCCTATGCAGATAAAACAAAACCTACTTGCTTTGCAGTGCACAGTTAATTTCTAAAAGAGGTTAAAAAGCAGAATTCACTTAGGTCAACTTCATTAGAAAATGAGGAACAAAATTACATTGCTAATGGATGAGAGAAACAAAGGCACATCTGTAGCACACCTATAAAGGAAACCATTGCAGAGAAAACTGACAATATTTACCAACAGCATGATACAGAACAAAGTAAAAGAAAGACTGGGAAAAAAACTGTCAGGAAATTTCAGAAAAGAAATCCACAGAAAAAAGAATTACTTCTAATTTTAGAAGACAGGTTCTTGTATTTTTTTTTTATCTATTAATCACATTAATACGAACAGCAGGGAGAACAGTTGGAAGTTGGGATTACAGGCTCCAAGTTCTGCTGAACTGATAGCTCTGATCCCAACTGCTCAAATACCTAGATTCCAATGCAGTTGTAAAAGACACAGCAGACACTAGACCATGAAGGATCAATTAGATCGCCCAGAGATAATCTAAAGTTCCTTGGCAGACTACATATTGAGGATGATCCAAATGCCTGTCCTCTGAGCTGTTCAGTATCTTGGCTTAGAGCTTCCTCCTGGATTTTAAAGCAAGCTCATTAAGCACAACAGTTTGGAGAAAAAAAAAAAAAAAAAGAGTCCAATGGTAAAAGAGTCTGAGAACACATCTGCAAACTAAACCAGTATATACTATATGGCGGCCTCTCCAAGGATAACACAAGTTTAAGAAATTCTCTGATCTTCTAAGATTCCATCCTAAAAGTCAGTTTGTTTCAGTGTAGATCCTGAAATGATCAGCACCCTGTTTCCCTAATCCTCTCCAGTGGTCTTACATGATATTCCAGCACTGCCACAGTTTGGATTATTATTATTTTGCTTTCAGTAACTACATCAGAAACAAAGGTATTATAAAACAACTACTAAACCAACTGTTTCACTCAAAAAAAAAAAAAAAGGAAAAAATGATTTTTTGTAAAGCAACAAAACTGCCTCAGTTTTTAATAGCTCATTTGGTTTCCAAGTTCTAAGACACTGGTATCTTTTCTTAGTTGTCTAAAACTGTACCCTAGAAAAAACATTTTACCTAGCTTTAGTCCTTGTGTATGACAGATGACTCTCTTCTACAGCAAGAAGTCCCTCCTCGGGTGACCCCCTGCTTGGCTCGCTCCACTGTTTCACAGGGCTTCCACTTGGGAGTGATGTACTTCAAATTAAGACTCTCCCTCTCTTGCACTTTTTGCACACTGCCAGCAATTCTTGCAATCAGCATTGAAAACACCAGCAATGGACACCAATGCAAGAGTACTGGGTGTTAAAGTAATATGTATATCAACCATATTACAATAATACCAACTTTGGCTTGGGAAGCAGCCCAAACACAACACTGGATTATCAAAGGAAGCAAATCTGGACTACCAGTTGGTTTCTAGACATCAACTTTACTGAAACGAACAGGGCTTTCACTTAATTTTTCTGGAGTCTGAAGAGTACACCTATGCTCACTCATTCACACTGAACTGGTGCTTTATAATTATTTTTTTAATAATGTTTTATAGTGGTATGTCCACTGTTCTTCCCAACAGCTGCCAAGAGATTTAATTTTTGTAATGATGGATGAGTTCAGGAATTTGCCACCATACCTTGAACTTGACAAATTCCCTATTTCCACGACTGCAATAATGATTTCATTAAGTACTCTAATAAAAGAGCTTAAAATTGAACAAGAGAAAGCACATGTTCAGTTGCAAATGCAGCAGCAGCAGACACCACTGTCAAAAACAATCTTCACAAAGGCAAGAGAGGCATCTGAAGTTTCCAGAATTTAACAATTCAGCAGTTTTGTATGTAAAAGGGGCAAATCTGAAGCCCTGGATCTTGATTAAGTCATAGCCAGTTGGCACATGGGGAAATTTCAAAGACTCCCCAGCCATTACCTAGCTTAGTGAGAAGATGTTAAGCAGCATTACTAGGTTTCTGTCTCAGTGCTGTATGCAAAGAAAGAAAGGGCCTGGTTTGTCCCTTATATGATCAGGGCACCTGGGATACAGATGCATTCCCAATGGATACACCCAGACATAAAAAGGCAATCCACACGTGTGGGATGCACATGAACCCACAGCAGAGTTCATACAAAGTGTAGCTTGAAAGGAACATTCCAGCAACTCAGTGAGTGATTCCACTCTAATTAGAGAATGGTTATTTATGAGTTATTTGCACTATTAATACCATCTTCCATGGAGATTTCTCATTCTCATTTGGCAAGCTGAGTTTATTTAGGTTCCACAAAGCAAAGAGAAAGGAGGGAAAAAAGAACAAGGAAAAAAAAAAAAAAAAGACAATTATTTTCCAAATTCATAGCTTCAGAAATCACTTATCCCCACCACAAGTAACATAAACAATGAAGGCTTTTTGGACACTACCCCCCCTACTTCTCAAAATTCAGAAACAGTCTAAATACTGGATGCCACATTTATCCACTAGACTTACAGTCTAGTATAAGAATTATAGTATACTGTAAAAACTGTATTTAATATGTTTCTGGCTTCCTTCTTGTCTTATGTGTTTTATGCTTCATTCTCCTCCTCTTGAGGACAACCTCAATTTTGCTGAGCTCACTTACCACTGACTGATATAATTAAGAAGCAAACAAATTTCATACAGAAATCATTGATATACAAAATAGACATTTTTTCAAAATAATATCTGAGTTTTCATCATTTAGTCTCACAAGGCTGGTTCATGAAACAAGAGAAACCTGGTTTTTTTTCATAGTAATGACCTATCACAAACCCATTTTCTATAAAAATTCTGCTTACAGAAAGGCTTGAGCACAGAGAAAGCAGATAAATAGCCCATCACATTATCAGGCTAATTTCTCTGAAAGCAAAATTCATTTAAAATTCATTTAGTAATAACCCGTAAAGCATAGATGGAGGTTAAAAACCTAAGAGCTTCTGACAGAATAAAGTTGCATGACGGAGAGCTATTCTAGATATCACTGTAATGAGAAAACACCAGTTTCTGTATCCAGCTTGTAAATGAAACTTCTGAGTATTTCTTTAGTAGCGACAATAAGATCTCGCAGTCCTTGAAAAATGACATAAGGAAATCACCGGTCTAAAAAAACAGTAAGATATCTCTATGACCTGGTTAGGACAGGTTTGAAATATTTCAAATCCTATTCATGTTCTGGAAAGCACTACACTCAAAATAGATTCCTTCAGGTTTTAGCCTTAATTGTCACTATGCATACAATGAATCTTTAAGTAACTACCTCTAGAGAACAAACGTTCTATTTTATACCATACTGTTTGTATATCATGTGCATTTACCAAACCATTTCCATTATGTTCTAACTCCTCATTCAGGGTTACACAATACTTCATGCTATTCAACAGCCCTAAATATTGCAGAATCAAGACAAGAGGTTCAAGTGTCATTTCTAAACAACAAATAGCTCAGCTATGATTAAGACAGTTATTTACAAATTCAAGCAAAATTTCTCACACGGACACGTTGTATGAACAAGCATTGAATTTTTCTTTGAATTAAACATTTAAGATGCAATTCTAGTGAAGTAGTAACTTTTATTTGCTGGTGAGCAACAGTTTTGTTTCTATTTTGTAAACTACAACCTCCATGCTGGTAATGAAAAACAAACCTGATAGCTCAGAGAAGAATTACCAGGAGGAATGAAAGCAAGTGAAAGAGAAATGCAGGCAAGAGTATTAAGCAACACTTTTTTTCCACCAAAGAGAAATATATTTGGGTGTTGAACCGACTCTTAAAGGATGGAATAATTGAACACGAGTGCCTCTGAATTAGCCAAGATACTTACGGATGCAGTGCTAAAGACAAGTCAAAGATGTTAATCTTTAACTGTGATGACAAAAGCGTACAACTTTACCTCTCTTACCATCATTTATAATACAATGACTTTTAATTTGCACAGAACCACAACTCCTAAACAGGATCACTTGGTAACTAAAATAAAAGCATGGATTCATCCTAAGCCAAGTGCCAGGAATCAAAGAGCAGTAGCTTAGATATAAAAGTCAGAACTTTAATTAAAGCCTGGGGCTGGGAGAAGGAGGGGAAGAAACCCTAGCAAGGAAATAATTTCCCTTATTTCAAAGAATAGAGTAAAATATTAAAATACAGAGAAGCTAAAGCTACCTTGCAGGAAAGAGACTGGGTTCCAGGAATCCTTCCAGCTGTTGAAGTCATAGCTGTCTGATTCCATCTTAACTGAAAAGATGTGTTAGCTAATACCCATAAAGACACTAGCTAGAAACAGTTTGTTGGCCAATCTAATTCTACACAAAAAACAGTGTCATCCATCAACACCTGGATTTTTATAGTTGCACTGTTATTTGGTCCTGCTGTTTTTCCTTCTACTGTCTCTTTCCCAAACAGCCAAGAAGGTAGCACAGCATTCATGTGTAATGGTGACTGAAGGCTAAAGGAGATTAGGATCACTCTTCCACTCACTTCTGTTACAGAAACATATTTTCCTTTTTTTCCTACAAAAACCATGAACTTCAAATACATAGAGTTAACAGTATAAACAGGTTTTGGGTCAAGTTACAATTGCCTGACTGACCTGTTTGCTGGAATTCCTGATTTGAATAAGGCAGGCGGAGATGTGAAATCAGCTTTGGTTGACTGCACTGCCAACTCTTTCTCCAAATTTCCAGTTCTGCCCTGCTGTACCTTCAAAATAACGTTTCATCATTAGTTTAACCTCAGAAGTGTAGTAGCCCCAACACTCAACATAGTACACAGCCAACACGAAAAGAAAGTCCAACTTTAATCGGATTTTTAAAAAAGTGTCACCTTTGCACAGGTAAAATTCTGTATTTTATAAGGATATATTACTTAAGTACTGCATTTAATATATATAAGAAGCAACATGCCAGAGAACAAATTATTACAGAAGATCAGATAGTTTTAATATTTATTTTCCAAGCATTTGATTTGGACATGAACAGATCAAACTGATTTTCTTGTAGAATTTCCTACATGAACAAAACAAGATCGTAATTTTTAAAAGAGGCAAACGTGTTAAAAAAAAAAAAAATCTTCATAACCTTAACGATAAGCCATGAGACAAGAAACTGAGTGCAGTCTCCGTCTGCCTTTCTGTCCATGAGATCTAGTAACCACTTAATTTCTGAGTCATATCAGGAAGTCACCTCACACTCTGGGTCATACAAACTTTAAAAGCTGCAGTTCAGATTGAATACTTCAAAATCATACTGCTGTTTCTGAAGTACTGCAAAATTCCACTGACACGTTATTAAAGCTATGCAAGACCTTTGGTGCAAGTACTTCAAGTATTGTTTGACTTCAGCAGCACATTATACACAAAAGAAAAACCTACATGGGTTAGCATTAAAGACAAACCTGTACTGATTCAGTTTTTAAAGACACTCCCACTGTACCAACCACATAGCTACATCACTCTACATAGCCAGTTCAGTCATGGTATTACATCATATAGGCTGTGATCTTACAGCTTCTTGTAGGCAAGTGAATTACTAAGCTTTTGCAGCATCTCACTTCTAAATATAGGCGCGTCTTTCCCAAACTGATAACAATGCACATAAAGAGTTAAGATTTGTTAAAAAATTAATTAAACTTTAATATCCAGCAATATGAAGAAACAAAACAAAAGGAAAAACCCAAACTGAATAGATTTGGTTCAAGTATTTATCTGAAAAAATCTGTAAGACTTCTATTAATTAATAACTGGAAAATGTAGGAGACAAAGTCTTGCCAGTTACAGAAGATTAATCCAAAGATACCATATAAATTACATGAGACTTAGTATTTCAGAAGAGTGGAAAAAAAGTTAATGAAATTATTTAATAATTATATGTAAACTCCTTGTAAAAAAGCATGACAAACTCTCACTTTAGACTCTTACACAACAATTATCTGTACTGTTTGATCACTGGACCCCAGACAGTCAATACTGAGCTGAAATAGGGGAAAGTTTGGTTTAGAATACTTATCCTTCTTCCTTCAGGACAACAGTTGAGAGAAGTTTGAGTGGAGTCAGCTGCAAATCATAACTCTCATTGCCCACCATTTCATAACATTATAATAATGATAACTGAGGAAGGCAAAAAGCCCCAGGAAGCTTTTAACCTGTTCTTGCTAAGATAAAGTCAAAATGACTGGATACCCCCAAGTAACATACAAGGGGAAACAAAAATACTTGTCTGCAATTGACACTTCTGTCACAGGAGTACGCAGAAGAAAGCAACAAACAGTTCCAAGTCAGTTTAATGACAGTTCAAGAACAAAAATGACTGCATACTAAAAATAAGCCAAACACATAACCTTTGTATTTTAATTTCAACTTTAGTATCAAACAAAAGAGTAAATGAGAAGTTGAAAAAAAACATTCAATCCTTAAGATAAATCCTGTCATATAGATTTTTTCTGCTAAGAATCAGCATTTCCAAATGGAAAAATAAAATGATTTATTGCCATCTAATCCCAAAAGGACAACAGAAAAATATGATTGATTTTCACACCTCAGAGTTGCCAAGGATAAGTGCTACAAAACACAGTAAGAGCCACAAGGCCACAGGAAAAATAAACATGCCATAATCTAGAAAAGCTTCCCCAGCACATCTGCCCAAATTCTTTAATCTGCACAAACAAATGCACTACAACTAAAAATAAACCATCACATAAAGAAAAATTAGTTTCACTGGGAAATTTATTAGTTCATCAGGCCACTAACTCACATGCTTGCAGACAGGTGACGAACAAAGCAATGCTTTTTAATCAGCCTTTTGTGACACACGTAGAAAGTCACTGATGTAAGGTGAGAGTCTGAAATAACGGCTACGTCCATTTCACTTGTTCTTCTATCAGTCTGTGGTGGCATGGGAAGCAATACTCAATAAAAATAAGAGCAACCAACAAAAGTTTACTAAAATTCACCTTAAAAAGATGGTATCTGCCATCGAGAATCTCTGCACTTGGTCTTACTTCCATAGCATTGTCTTCAGCCTAAGTTAAATAACACATTGCCCATTAAGATACCATACAACTCTTAAGTGGTGGGCCACAATCTGCATAATGGTACAGATGCAATCTAGCTGTAGCTAGTCCGTCACACTATCCACACAAATTGCCAGTGAAGCAACACAGGAACACTCTAGGCTTGGGTGGGGAGGCAGGTGCAAGGTCTTTAACAAATGCACTGAACTGGGCAGAACAAGCTTATGACACACAAACAGCTTTACAGGGAAAAAAGCATGTAGAATACCACAAAAGTGGTACTAATTACCGTAATTTTATTTGTTGTTGAGGTAACTGGTAAAATTTCAAGACCCATTCGTATTCTCTTCTGTTTTTCACAGTAAGCTTTCCAGGTATCTTCATTGAACCCATAGTTGAAATAATCAGAGAGATCAGCCCCTTTAAAAGAGAAAGCATAGGTTTTTAGGACATTACAAAGTTTGTCTTTTCTTCACTGAACATACATACACCTCTATTTACAGCATCAAAGTGAATTATGTATTGATCTAAAAACATACTACTGACATGTACAATACAGTCTTACATCAGTAAACATAGAGTATTCATGGCTAAGACTATAAAAACCATTAAAATTTAGTCAGAAAGAGTATCCTGCCTAGCATCCTGTCTTAGGGATCAAGAGTAGATACTTACAAAATATCATAGGATATTATAATCCCTGTATCTTTACAATAGGATAAATATAAGATCTACAGGTTTGCTGTATGTTCAGTGAAGAACCACTCCTCTTTGCTCATTCTGTATTTGATTCCTCATTTCGACTTCTAGTTTCATTTGATGCCACAAAGTTGGTTTTCTTTTATTGTAAGAGAGAAACCAGCCATAACTCAAATGCACTGAATATATTTCAAATAGCTATCAGTTCAAACACCAGAATATTATCAAAGGCTTCTTTTTTCCATTTTGTAGACACTATTTACATTGCCAAAGCAATATACAAACACTGGAAAAAAACTATAAACAGCAGGAAGACATACTGCCACTAAAAAAAAAGAAAACAAAAAACCAACAACAAACGCTGGTATTAGACAAGTTTGGCCAAATCACTTGAGCCAACCAGACAATACACGCAGCAGACTTATGGAAAGATCAAGTGGTCCATAAGCTGCTTTTTCAAAGCTTATGGACGTCTGTGCGTGAACACAAAGAAGCGCAAGCAGCTACGTTTCACCATTTTTCATGCTCAAACCTGCTAGAACAAGTTTCTGTTCTGCTTTATCTTCTGTTCTATGGCACAGACCAATGGCAGTAATCTCCACAGAAACAGATTTCCAAGGAGAGTTCAGAATATACATGTATTTTTTTTAAAAAAAAAAAAAAAAAAAAAAGGGCATGTCCCGTCCCACAGTCTCTTTTTGCAGATATATGTGCGGGACATATACTAAGAAACACGGCACACCCACACACCCTGTGGCACAGCACAAAGACAACGAGTAACTTAGCTGCTTTTTCCAAGTTATATTGTACAGTATCTTCTAGCTGTAGGATAGATAACATCTGCATGCAGTAAATGGGAACTATTATTAAAATAACTGACTGAATAACTACATACTAGCTAATGTAAACCAGAGCATTACCTGGCTTTCTCCAAGGTTTATCTTCAAAAGAATCTAAATCTACTTCCAGAAGTGGCACACCATTAATACTCCCTGGTGCATCTAGATCCACCCCTTTAACTTTCGCACCTGTGAAGAGAAGTTAGAAAGTTAGAGCCTTCTGTCTCTACCAAATACAGTTTTAACAGTTGTAACACACTTAAAATAGAAATAAAGTCAGATTTAAATTTATGAAGAAGTTTTGGAAGTGAAAATTATTTCCTTGATCCAAAACAAGCAAACTTTTTTTTTTTTTGCATTTTTACTAATATTACTGTGTAAATTTTCTTACCAGAAGATCCATAAGCTCGTCCTCCTGTCTTAATATTGAGATTCACAGGTGCCGCTCCATAACTTAAAGAAATTAACAAAACTGAATTAGACAGAGAAAGCTCTTTAAACAGAAGAAAAAAAACTAAACAAGAGTTAGCTAGATCCAGAAACAAACTGGACCCAGGCTCAATCGCCATCCTGAATCTCTAGCTTTCCAAGCTGGTAACACTGTAAAAGTAAAGAGATCAGCCTAGGAGGAAGAGAGTGTACCTTTCTATGCTCAGTAGCAACTTCTCCAACTAATAAACAGTTGTGAAGCAAGTCCCAGTCACTCTTCCTGAGTTGAAAGGATAAAGACCTTGATAGAAACAAGAATGGACAGAACCACAAGAGGAGAGAAAGGAAAAATGCAGTTCATTTAGGGATACAGATGATACTCTGGGGATTAGAGTAGAAACAAAATAAATTGAAAAAAAAAAAAAATAGTTTAGATCCTTTTCTCTTTTCCTAACTATTCCATTTAATCTCTACAGAAGTGGAAAACACAAGCATTTCTCGACAATGACTGAAAGGCTGTCTGTTCCAATGTACTTCTAGCAATCATCTATCCTTGTGACCAACAGAAAAGCATGTAACATTGCACTTTCTAAAATACCTGAGAGTTTTCTTCATAAAAACGCACTCAGAAATCTAGATACTGAACTGATTTAACTACCTCAGGAATCTATTGTTCACTTGGAACATTAAAAGCTAGCTTTCGCTACCATTTGTGTGCAACATAGCTTATCCTCACAGGTGGTATCAACCCATACATATAATGGGATTAGCATATAATTAGAAGGCAGTGTATAGTTTACAGCACCACATCCATGCAGTTTTAGTTTTCATCCAAGTGCTACAACAGTACAAAACTGACACAAAACATTTAACCTTCTGATCTGCCATGCTGTATTTGTGCATGAATGTCAAACACATCTCAGCTTTTTTTTTTTTTAAACAGCGGTTGACTAGTCTATGGAAAATCATTTAATCCTACAAAAGGAACTTGTTATACTGAAGTCAAAGTGAACAGCAATGTTGAGTTTGTTTTAGATTACTGCCTTTCCATGAACTTTCTGTCCAATTTGCTCAGAAAAAAAGGGTTTTTTTCAGAAAACAACCATTTCTACATAAAACTTTCTACTCTAATTAGATTTAGGATCATCTGGTCATTCTGTATTCATGGAAAGAGCATCAGCAAATCCACCAAGAATACAGATCTAGTTTTGCTTTAGTCTCACAAAATTTGAGGTCACTACCTACACCACAAGCATACTGCAAGTTATGGAAAGCAGACAAATAAAGAACTGAAAGAATTGCTATTTGTTACATTACATTGATTTGCATAGTTAGTTTAGGATATGAAATATCAAAAGTTTAAAAATATTATGTTTCAAAAATGAGTAAATTACCTGCATTCTAAAGTTAAGAACACAATAACATACATGAGTCAGACCTACCTGCAGACCTGTCACAATTCTATTAAGAAACGATGCCCTAGTAACTCTGGTTTTAATAAGTACAAAAACATTAGGATTGCCAAGACAAACAAGCAAACCATGTCCCTCAGAAAACTTCCATGTAATGAAAAATAGTATTTCACAATTTTGGGTAAAATTAACACTGTTCAGAAGTGTTCAGTGAAAAACAAGCCCTTTATCAAGAGAAGAAGGAATACAGGGCAGTAACAGTAGCAAACAATTTATTGTATGGTACCATATTGTATGGTACAAATGCCTAGACCGTGATCTTGAGAAATTATCTCCAGAGACTGGCAGCTCCATCCTGAAGTACATTTGCGAACATCAATAGGAATTAAAACTACAGATGTCTAATTAGAACTGTATCCACTACAAACAGGACCAAGGACAAATGTTTCTAATGTTCTCTGCGCTTACCACTCTACCATTTGCAACAAAAATGTTGCTCTCACAATAACGACCCTAAAAATGCTATGTAACATAACCACTCCATAATAAAAACCAACTCTCCACTTTAAAAACTTAACACAATTATTTCGCAAAATCTGAGAATAAAATTTAACTTGTACAACAGCTCTTCTTTTAAGACGTCACTGACCACATTTGAGTTGTTTTCAAGTCACTATATCATCAAAACATTGTTAAAGACCTGAAAAAACTAAATTGAGACTAACTATGCATACAATTTGACACTGACAAGTATTAGAGCCTGAATTAATAATTAAATGTACTCTTGAAAGTTCACCCAGTTAATGTTTGCAAATAACTTACCCATACTGTGGAGCTCCTGTTTTAATATCCCCTATGGTGACTTGAACATCATCTTCATCATCATCACTATCACTATCACTGTCATCCTCAGCCTCTGCCACCTTCTACGAAAGAAAAAGTCATTGCTTAGACAAAAAGCAGTCACTTACCTTCATAGTGGAAAAATAATCCAGACAAACTATCTGTTCTAGAAATCTTCGAAAGAAGAAAATTCTCCTTTTCTTAGACCTCAGAACTGAGTAGCACTAAGAGTAAATTTAGGAGGCTCATCTGCTGAAATGCTACAAGTATCTGAAACATCTGTATCAAAATAGAGAAGTATCTTTAATACTAAGTTCTGTTTCTGAAACATGACATTTCCTAAACAAGCATGAAACAGTTTCCACTATCTAATATCCTTCTTCCCTCTATGTAGCTCATACACACCAGTTCTACTCTTGTCACTCAAGAAAGAACTTAAAGATACCAAAGACTAGCTTCTTGCCATCCTCAATTACATATCCAGAGTAACTTAAAGGAATGTTTTTCCAATTGTAGATTAACACCACGCCTCAGAGAAATCTATTCAGTTCCTAACATCAGTAAACTGTATAAAAGACTTGAGATTTTTCAGTGAACAGGTTGAAAAAACAAACAAGAGCACCTCGCATGCCCTTCTGTTCCATAGCAAAGTTGCTGGTAAATAAGTGTCATGACAGTTCATATCAAGAGTTCATCTAGTCGTGTTTTGGGTTTGTTTGGTTTGGTTTGGTTTTCCCCTCCCAGAGGCCACAGGGGAGAGAAAAAAACAGGGCAAATGCATACTATGCACTTCCCTAACACACTTTTAGCTGCTGATTATTATCAGCTCAGGGCTTTTCCTAAGCCAGTTATGGTTTATCTATTTAGTAACCCCCAATGGATCTTTCTCTCAAGTACTTGCCCAGACTTCCCTTGGACTCATATAAGCTCCAACCTCTTACTTGTTTTCATCCTGGCTCCTATGACTTTCATTTAACAGTCCCAGTTCTCATATGGAAGGGACTGTGAGGAATCAATCCTTACTTATAGTCTCCATACATGATTTTGTTAGCCTCCATCATATCCTATGTATGCTTGTCTTCCAGGCTGAGAAGTCCTTGCCTGCTCAGCTACTCCGTGCATGAAAGGTACCTCGATTCCTCTTGCTGCTCTTCTCACAACTTTTTTCAGATGAAGCAAAGCCTTTACGAAGTAAGTGGAACAGAACAGCACAGAGAATGCAGGCTGCAACTGAACTACGAAGTTATGGTATAATGATATCTTCCATCTTGCTCTCTATTAATTTTCTGCTATGTCCCAAGGCTTAACTGCTTTTCAGACTCCAGACAAGCACTTAACCATCAATTTTGTGGATCTTTCTACATATCTTAGTGCGTCCCTCCTAAGTGGTAATGATCAGCTCAGAGACCACCATTTTATTTGTAAACCTGTTTTTCCTCCCACGAACATCACTCTTCTTTTTCTATACAGAATTTAAATAATCATCTATTAACCAGTCAGTTTTTCACAGACAGTCCTTGCTCTTAATCTTGAGTAACTTTGTAACATCAGAAAACTTGTGGTCCCACAACTTACTCCTTTTCCAAGTAATTTATAAACACATTAAACAGCACAGGTTATGCACAACATTCCAGATAATCCCCACTGTAGGTGACATTACTTCATGGTGAAAACTGAACCTTTATTTCCACCCTCTGCTTTCTATCTTTTACACATCAATGCTCCATGTGGGACTCATCCTATAGCTGCTTAGTTTTCTTAAAATCCTTTGGAGAGGAACTTCTTCAAAAACTTTGTGGAATTCAACTGAACTTGATCAGCCAGCTCACCCTTACTCACATCCTCATTGAATCCTTCAGCAAGAGGCTGCAAATACCAAAGCCAAGTTGATTCTGTCCAGGTAGCCTGCAGTTATCCAAGCACAGCTGAGCTGTAGCACTTATCTATTATACTGTCTATTAACTTGCCTGGTATATAAATTAGACAAAAATAAGCAGCGGCACAGAAGATAAGATGTTGGAGTGTGGTTCACCCTTACTATACAACATCAGGATAATTTACATAACAATTAAGAGTCTAACCAAGGGGGAGGGAGGAAGTCTAGATCAGTATAGATATTCTGTAAATGACTACTGGAGACAGAAGACAGTCTTTCAATGTCTCACTGCTGAAAAGTACAAGTTCACCACTCTCACACACACCAGCCAACCCACACAGTAGACAGCCATTACAAATGCATCGAAGAGAAAATAACATCTTGTCTGGAGCATGTACCTTTCCAAGCAAAACCAATTTCACTTCTAAACAATGATTTCTCAGTTCCCTCCTCAAAGAAATATTCACCTTTTCTTATTTAACCAACTTGAACACCATCCATTTTTCTAGGTTACTGCTGACCTTTCGTGTGCACCCTTTACCATGAAGTTCTCAATTTTATGAGAGATGTTCTAATGATATCCTAACAATGCTAGGCTTTATTTAGGTGAAAAATACAAAGATATGCAAGTACAAGGAAACTGCACCAATGTGGATTTTCAGAAATACTTTAAAATCAGCAAGTCCAAAAAGGTATGCTATTGTCTCCTTGTACCTAACGTATTAAATCTACTGCCCACTTACAGTATTAGCATCAGCACAAAAAGCCTTTGGTGCGCTTAAAATAAAGACCTTCTCAGTTCAAACAACTGAAATAAGTTTTTTAAGTTTTTATAAGTTTTTCCCCCAACTTTAAGTAAGTTGTAATACCTTTCATAAATAAGGTATTAGACTTAGTGAAAACAATATACTCTTGAGAGAGGCCACTCCTTAAAAGTTGCACAAATATAACAATTTCGGCATCACACAAGGGAATTCTTACAAGATATAAGTTAAAAATCCCAGTAAAGTAAAATTACAATTTTTTCATATAACAGATTTAAACTGTTCCTGTTCACAGTAAACTGAATCCTTTTATCAACACTGCAACTGTAAATTTCATTTCCTGGCCCTCTCCTTCATCATACTAACACTAAAGTTTTAAGACATACTGAACATTAAAGACTACTACCAAACAAGTCTGTTATGTTGCCTCTGAAAGGCGTGTGTAATTCATCTCTTGATCCGTATTTTCATACAGTTCTGCAAATGCTGATTGTTCATCATGTTCACAAAACGATCAGGGGATTTTATTTTCCTACCACTGAGGAAAAGTAGAGAAAGAAACATTTTGAAAAGGATGTGTTTGAGAACAGACAGCTGTCTGGGAAGCAGTATTTCCCCTCCCAAAAAAAGGAAGTACTATTCATTTATTCTCTGTAAGTTAGATTTAAAAAGTAGACTGCAGCTGGAATTCAGATTTCCTAATTTAATAATTTCTACAGAGCTTCTGCAGATAATGTCAAACACCTTTCATTAAAAAAAAATAAAAAAATCAAAGGCATACACTTACGCATTAATTCATTTAATTTTAAGTTCTAGCCAAATTACAAATACCCCATAAATCAAACTGAATTAAAGCATTATTTCAAAAACACATTTAAAACTACCGTTTTCACAATGCCATTTTCTGCAGCTTCCTCTTCACTTCCAGGTGGGGGTGGAGCACTTAAACAAAAACAAACAGGAAAAGATGAAACTAGGTATTTATGCACATATTATTTCACACATACCAGCTAATGATGAAAAAAGCCTTGCTACATCATTGTAGAGAAGAGTCAAAGCTCCAGCTATCTTCTGTATTAATTAAAAATTAATTTATTAAAAAATGTCTAGACTAATATAACTTTATATTAGCAGGACATTTAGCTATCATAAATCATACCAACTGGATGTTTGTAGAATAGTAGGAAGTAATAAGCCACTACACCTGGATCCTCTTTTGAAATCAAAGTGAAATCCTTCAAAATATATGAAGGGAAAACAACAGCTTCCCCCAGACTGACACTGTTCAAAGACATAATGGCAAAAACATTTAAATACCCGTAGGTAATGTTGCACTGAATCAAAATTCCCACATCTGCATTGCGAAATTTTCTTCCACCATATGGAATAGATACAATTCAATGATGAATTCAATTATATTTCAACTGTAGACTGAAAACTGTAAAAATGTTAGAACTTTTGGTCCATCTAAAATGACCAGCACTGTCAAATCCACGCAAAGGAGCTGCCTCACTGGGCTTACCTACTGCTGTTTCTTACACAGCAATATTTTAAATTTCCACAGTTCCATTAACTGTTAGGATGTTGCACCGCAAACAGAGTAAGCAGGGAGCCATTTAGAAACAATATTCCTTCACTGAAAAGGTATTTCTGAAATGGAGTAAGCAACTGCCAATTTTTATTGAATAGAATGATTTTGATCTGTCTTCTGTTGGCAAAATACCACTTGTGAGGGTTGCACCAAAACCCAACACAGCCCAGGTACAGTCCCAGGATTCAAGCTCAACCATTTCACTTCATCATGCAGTGGAATGACAGACTGGCTACACAACCTGAAGAAAACCTCATGATTTTTATATGTATGACAAATGCCAAAACTGAGAGGCCGGAGACGAAAACTTCTAACAGGTTAACTGGCACCACACTTTCAGAGTTCCAAAGACAACTTGTAAGATGCATAAGCTATCATTTCTTATGATTTTTTAGTCCATAACTATGTATTGATGCAGCCAAATGCCAAGCTAGACACTATTGATGAGAAACTGGAGTAAAACACCACTGTTTCTAAAGATCATTTTGGTTGCCATGCAAGTAATTTTCTTAAACAACAGTAACCCTGACAAAAGATGCCAGGTCAGGAAAAGATAATTGAACACAAGGAATCAATTGATATGGGATAGCTTCCAAAAAAGGAGTAAATAAATAATTAAAAATCTTTGTCCTGGAAAAGAGATGATTCAAGATGAATGCAACACAGGTCTAGAAAACTGTTAAGTGACATGGAAAAGGTGACAGGAAACAACTGTTTCTTACACTACAAGAACTAATGGCAATCAAATCATTGCATCTAATAGCTGCTTCAAAGTAGTATCATATGTAGTCAAGTGGTGGAGGCAATTACTGCTGTATCACACTGTGCCTATCAGAAGTTGATGTCAGTTCAAAAAAGCAACTGAGCAAGCTTATGGACAAGAAGTCCACCAAGGGTAACTAAATTCAAGAGTTCTCATTGAAAAAAATCTCTGTTGACTGGAAGCATTTATGGAAAATAACAATGTATGTTTTCTTGCATTGGCTTACCCTTTATTTAATTATCTTGACAATCAATAATTGCCATAGTTTATCAATTGTGAGACTCCTTTCATTCAGTATGAGACTGATTCCCATTTCCAGTCAGTCCTTGCTACCAACCTCCATCAACTCAGCTAGATTTTCAAAGGAACATCTTTGTGCTTTCTCTCATACATCTCTTTATAACTCAAGGAGGCTCCTCCAAATACTTCCAAAGCTTTTTCTAAATTTCTTTCAAATACTCTCTTACTAATAAAAAACCCACTCCAAAACCCTAAGCAGGTGTGTTATGCAACCTGTGCATCAAACTAGCTGATAATCTTCCACTGCTTCCTTGTATTCCTCTTTTTGTAACTACATCATGAACTGTTTGGGAGACAGACAATCTCTTAACTTCTAAATTATCTAGAACAAATGAAGTCCTGATCCCTTACTAAGATGGCAGAGCACAATGATTACAGAAATAAAAAACCTGTTGGCAATCTGTGAGGGGCTACTGCTGTCCATACAGTTAAAACTTAAAGTAACTTTCATACTCAAGTGTCCCAATTTCACAGGTAAAACCATTTCACAGAAAAGTCAAGTCATTCTAGCAGACCACCCATACTATCTTAATGGGATTATCAAAGACATCAGAGTGTATTCAGGCGCTTTGGACTTTCAAGCAGTTGGGAAGAAGAATGTAATGAATACATTTTTTGTGCAGCCACACTACATGACTTCCAATTGTCAAGATACTCACCTAGCTTTTTCTTCCTCTGGTCTCTCTGCTTCATTTTCATCTACCACAAGACATAAGAAACACAGTAGTTAAAAATAAAATCCCCTGGATACCAACCATGATAAATATGTTGTCATGCAGAGTATTAAGCAACTCTTCAGTTTACTTGAGACATTTTCATAACATTTCAATTGTGAAATCTGTCGAGCAGACCCCCTGAGCCCTCACAGTGCTCCGTACTGACAGGTCCACCACAGGGGCAGGGTTTAGTTTACAGGTTTCATTATGATTTAATCATAAAGTCCCTAAAGTTGTTAAAAAAAAAAAAAAAGTTTATGCATAGAAGGTTAAGGCTGCTTCAGTACTATAACGCTGGGAGCCTGGGCAGGGGGGTACCGGGAAAAGGCTCGGCCGCACCGGGGGTGCATGCGGGGCAGGAAC